ACTGAAGAGTAGCAATGGAGGGGCAGACTGCAGCTGTGCCGCGGCGTGGTGAAGAGGGGGCCTTGTCCAGGCTGCTTGGAACAATATAAAAGCGCTAATCACCTCAGACAGCTGACACCCTGTGCCTCACACATTTACTAACTGTATCCCACAGACACACTCATACATACGCTGAGATCTGAGGATTGCCTTTGCAGCATGGAAGAAGAGGAGCTCTGCCCAGGCAGGTTCAGAAAACAAAGTCCCTGTTTTGTCTATGAAGTCACAGTGCTTCAGAATTCAAAATGCTCTCAAATAAAGATACTTGTGTTAACTTCTAATAAGAAGAAAGCACATAAAGCAACTTCAAAGGAAGCTTAATAACATATAGAGGATAATTTCCCCCTTTGTGCATGATTGTATGCAGAAGGAAACACACATGGTTATCCTGCAACAAAAAACCCACATAATATATCGGGTGCTTGCACACTCTCGTGCATACAGAGACGCACACACACGTGCATACACAAAAGTGTCTTGGGGAATTTGACCTTTTCCCAAAAGCCTCCCTTTCCTGCCTCTGCTCCCCTCCCCCTCTGGCTGTGTGAAGACTGAAGGGGTCAAGGGTTAGGTTTTGGGGGGCTGAAGATTAGGTTTCACATGACTGAGCACCTTTGTTGGGGCAGGCCTGCAGAAAGGAAACGTCCAGGAGGGTAGCTCTGTCTGTCTGAGAGGAGAGAAAGAAGAGAGAGGGGGTGGAAAAGGAAGAAAGAAGAGAGGACGGCCAGACGGATGGAGGGAAGGATGGATGGATGGACCAGTGGAAGGACAAGGCTTTAGTTGAAGACTGGAGCTGAAGGGCAAGATCAAGGGAAAAAGTAGAAAAAGAGGAAGAGCAAAAAGAAGAAAGTGAGAGCGTATTAAGAGTAGAAATGAGAAAAGCAGAGTAACCTCATCCCAGAAATTCCTTACTCTCTCCTTACACTTCTTCTTTTCTTGACCATGTGGCTTCTGCTAGGAGCCAGCAAGCATCCTCAGTGGCCACGCCGATCTGCCTTGTGACCACACAGTGAGAAGAAAGTCCCAGCCAAAACAGTAAAATGGATCCCAGCAGAACCAACCCCCTACCCCTTTCCACCTCCTCCGCTTCCCTGGTCTCTCCACTTCACAACATCTGAGACATGGTCTACCCACCAGATAATATGCACAGCAACTGGTAGGGAAAGAGTTGGCAGAAACCTGGATTACCTCGCTTGTGAAGTATTACTTTAAATGTTTGCATGCGTGACTTTTTTTTGCTCTCTCCCCATATTCCCTACATCTCAGAATTAGAGAGAGAGATTTTAACGACGTGCAACAGCTTAAACATAAATGACTCACAGAGGTGGGACTGGTACGTCTGATGGCTTCCAGATAAGGTGAAAACTTTGACCTCCAAGTGAAAAAAAAAAGGGCTGAGGGCAGGAATGCGTTGAATATATCACACACAAGCCTTTACTGAGAGAACCTTTTCTGCTTTCAACTTGTATGATCACCGGTTAACCTTTTATTTCTTACATTTTGGACAACACATTCCTTAAAAGACTGTTGCATAGTAGTCTGTTCCAACACTGCACATGTTTCCTGGGGGTGGGGGTAACCCTTGCAGTCGTCTTTAGGATTTTACTGAGGATTGCAATGTTTGGCACCAGCATATGATTGGTCTATCATTTATGGGGTTTCTTATGGAATGCTAACCGATTGGCTTGAAAGAGGTGGAGCAGAAAAGGCCAAAAGTTTCCTAAAAAGTATTGAACTTACCTTGAACCTTGGGGTATTGCATCATCATTTTATACTTTTTTTGCTATACAGGGAATTACTTTTTATGTTTTCAAATGATATTCTCTGCTACTAGTAGCATCACTGGGATGGGTTGCACTCACATGCATGCAAATGCTCAGGTTGTATTAAACTTGAATGCATACTGTTTCCAAGGGGTTTCGCTGCCAGAGTTTATATAGACAGTAAAAAAAAAGGATCACATTATCAACACCCCATGACTTGTGTATGCTTATTCGTTTTACGTGCATATACGGCTCTGTGTGTATGACTATGCATACGTAAGAGATGGCAGGGTGTCTGTTTACTGTCCTGTGAAGAAAAATCTTAAGTTTACCCTTTGGCCTCTTTATGCCACTCTATCTCAGTGTCAGAAGGGCTGGACAGTAACTCAGCAATACATATTTTACAGCCTGTAAGCTGTTACCAATAAAAGATTTGAAGTTAGTGATTCTGGCAAATAACTAACTGAAAAACATATACAAACAAGCTTTCTTGTATTTTAGTATTTTATGGAGATTGCATATGATAAGCCAATACAAAGAAGTGAAGGATATAATTTTGGTCTTTCTAACACATTTATACACTTCAATTAAGGCCATTTTAATGTTTGAAACTTGGATAAAACATCCTGGCCTTAAGTTTTGGATTGTTTTGCTGTTGGAACGTAAACTTCCAGTCTCATTTTTGCCCTGCGTTTAGGCTTCTCCGCTCTTACGAGCTAACTAACACCACTCCATCGTATAATACCATAAAAGCCATATTTGTATATCATATAATACCATAATATACAAATATGCCTTTTGTAAATCATATTCATAGCCATTTCTTGGCAGATCAATTATATTCAGACACTGATTTTAAAAGCCTACTCTTTAATTATCCCCAAAGTTGGAATAATTGTTGGAAGAAAAATTTAGTATAGGAAAAAGTAAAATAAAAAAAGTCCAAGCTCAAGGGTTATGAACACTTAATGCCAAAAGTATTGTGTACCAAATCAATGAATTCGTATGTTCATGGCTGCATGTCTTGACCTCAACCTTCTAGGGTACCTTTGGGAAGAACTAGAGCCAGGAGGGCAATCCTGGTTTCTAATTTTACTATGAAGTCATTAAAGCTAATGTGTATGTAAAAGTAGAGACATGGTGCAACACAAGAAGCACAGAATTCCAATATGTATATAATACATTTTATTATTATCAAGACAAAATGGCTGAGTGAAGAAAAACAGCTGAAAATAGAGTGGCATTTCCATAAACTGAAAACAATAACAAGAAACTTGCAAGTTGAGAAAAACTCATAAACGTTGGTCAATGACCTTTGGTCATTAAACAGAAATTAGGCCATCATAATTAATCAAGGAGGGAGAAGAACTGAAATTATTTTTGCAGTGAATCTGTTCAGAACAGAGCAGGTCTCTCTCTCTCTCTCTCTGTGTGTGTGTGTGTGTAGTCATAATAAATAATGTCGACCTATGCCAGGGGCCAACTTCAAGTTCAGTTCAGAGCAAACAGCTTGAAAGCAAATTCAGAACACAGGATTAAATCTTAAATGTACCTCAATACCAGCGGCATGACAGCATGTACCCACATTTGTTTGTGATTATACTCCTTGCATATGAGTTGTACCATCGTACCATCTTCAAATCAAAAAGCACCATGGTTTATTTTGTCTATATAAAAAAAAAAAAAAAAAACTTTTTCAGGTAAATATTGTACTGATTGCATATGACAAAATGTGTCTTTTTTTAACAGCTGGAATGTTTTCAGGTGGTACATGATCAAAGACAGTAAAAAGTTGGCTACAAAGAAAAACCCAACAATAGCTTGTATTACTGCATATAAAATGGCAGGAGAGAACAAAAAATATATAAACCAACAAAAAAGATATGTACAACCACCTGTGTTTACCTCATTGTGGTCACCCCAGCGGGACTGCCTGAAAAGGCCATCATATGGCCTCTCACCCTTCGGGGAACACCACAGCCTTTTATTTTTCAAAAACATACTTTTTTACCAAAGCATACAAATTATTCACACTATATTATCCTGCCAAATTAGGAAAATATACGGTGGCAGCTTGTTGGGATTTTTTTTCACTACAGAAAAAAAAGAGTACATTGAAACCTCTAAAGAGTACAGGCAAAACAGTTAAAAATACAGGCTCCAACATAAATACTATAAGTGCCTACGCTAAGTGAACATTAATTTCAAATACCATTCTAAATACAGGAAAAAAGTAGACCATAGATGTGTTTTGAACATAGGAACTTACAAGAGTGTGCATTTTCCTATGTGTTTTAGGTTCTCTCTATATATTTATATATCATAAATCTCTCCTCAATGCAAATTTTTGTTCAACCTGAAGACTTGTATCTATTAGTAAAGGCAAAAAGATGAGAGACATGTTTTTGTTTTTTTTGTTTGTTTTTTACAAAGTTCATTACATAGTGATCAGTCCCGGATGCTACCATGACAGATTAGAGAAACATAAAAAAAAAAAAAAAAAATTATTCAAAAACAAAATTTAAATAAGGTTCCCCCTAAAAATGCTGAGGTTTTACTTAAAACAGATAAAAAAAATTCAAATTTTATGACTATGAGCTTTATTGTGTCTATTGTTTGTATGGCAATTCCTGCATTTATACCTCCAAGAGCAAAACCCCTGTAGCTCTCAGAAGATGGCTAGCAAAGTCTCTTTTCTTTTTTTTTCTTTTTATTTTAATAGTAAGCAAATACGCCGTGCTAATCTGTCAGCATAAGAGCGAGTTTTCCCTTGAGCGCCCAACTGTAAACTGGGAAAATTGAACAGTGCATGTAGGTGGTTCCAGATCTGGAATCTGGTCCTCGTTTTATACTCAACCAACTGTACCTCCGATTAGAGAGGCAGATACAGAATCCAAGGCAGAGTGACAAGTGCTATATCATCATCATTGACATGGGAAGGAGATTAGAATCATCAAAAAGAATAGCCACATTTAGGTCTAAGAAAAAAGAAAGAAATTGAACTTTTTAGTTACAAAAACTAGAAAGTACACATGTTTCGTTTGTCAAACTTGTATTATTTCCTTTAGATGTTTTTCAAAGCAAATTGTTTCAGATTCCTTCAGCGTCTTTCAAATTTAATTTGTGTGTAAGAACTCATGCTTTGATGCATTCATTCGGGATGGTTTCATTTTCTTTGCAATTTAAAACAAGCTCTTCGATTTTCTCATATTGTTTTGATATTCGTAGATAAAATTTGGAATAGGTCAAAAACATGAAGAAAAAAAAAATGAAATCATCACTAGCTGAAAAGATGGATTGGTGCATCTCCAACAATCATCCATGCCCATGCTTCCACATCCTGTTACCAAAGCTCCCTGTTACACACTTGCAAACCCAAACCTTAAGATGCACTAATCAGTTGGCCAGAGAACAGAATAGGCCAATTTTCCTTGATTGGCAGGTAAAACACTAAAGAATTTAAAAATGTCCCGCTATCCATTACAAACATAAGCACTCCTACCATTTTATACACTAAGAAAAACAGCTTGCTGTGATGCATTTTCATTTGGATTCAAGACAAACTCCTAAAGTAAAGAATCGGCTGCACATCCTTTTTCCTCTTTTATAGGCTGTGGTTTGTACACACAAAAAAAATATTTTTATCTAAATGATATTTGGCAGGTCAGACTTAAAAAAAAGGACAAAAAAAGAACAGAAACCTGAAGTGGCCATGAAAAGCCTGATTGGTGCATCTCTACTTTTTAACCGTCATCTTGAGTTGCAAGAACTAAATCCCACTTTTTTTTTTGAAGTGGAGGTGAAATTATAGCCAGAATGGCTAAAACAGAAGGAATATAGATCAGTGCTACTTACAAAATATCACCTGCACTTTTTAATTTTCAAAAACAAAAAATTCTGGAAACTTTAAGAGCTTCATGTTGGTTAAAACAACTTGTCAGAGAACCTTTTTTGAGTTGTACCAAACACTTACACCAAAACCAAAAACCTCTAACTCTTCCTAAGCATGTTGCATGCCAGTAAACAGAATTGTAATCATGAAAAAATTAATATGCATTAATCAGGCAATTAAAAGATTTACCAGAAAAACACAAATCTTTTTTTTTTTTTTTTAGGTTTGTTTCAGCTGGTCCTGCAAAGTCTCCCCAAAAAAGCAACTAGGTTGTGCAGGTGCTTGATGCAAGGACCTGCATCTTCCCCATGTCCTGTAAATATCTATAGCTGAAACTCTGAGCTCATAGCAAAAAGGAGAATTATCTAATGCAGGTAAAATATCCAAGGCACTCTTTGTCGTCATGTCACACTACATTTAGTAGCCACAATGTTTGTAAAAGAACTATTTATTGGCGCTAGTGCCCAGCATTTTATAAATGACCCAATTCTTATTCATATATATCAATATATATATCTATAGATAGATATATGTATATTGATATGGATATATATCTCGTCTCAATGTTGCATGGAAAATCTTTCAGAAAGATCAGTTTAATGTTTGACCCTGCTTGTCTTGATGTTTTGACAATATGACACTGTCAGCTATGTTTGAACACAAAACTTTACATGATATGTAAAACAGTACATACTGTATGCAGCTTGGGTTATTTCGAACAGGGTTTTTTTATGCTGAGAAAATTTTTAAGTATCAACAGCAAAACATGTACAACCAAATCTTCCAACCAGGAAGATTTTTACTTTAAGTAGCCAAAACACACCAAGCATGCTGTCCAGTTACAAAAAATACAAAAATGTGTAAATTATTGCACAATAGAAAGGCTCAAAAAGTTCTGATGCAATAGTATTGCCCCAGTACTGGATCATGCATCAAGTTTTCTCCAAAAGTGAATGGAGAACAGGGCTGCACGGCATTCTGTTGTCTAACCCTGTTGTATTTTCCCCTTTGCTTAGTGGCTACATAGCCAGAGTTGGTTTTTAGCCAGGGGGGAGCTGAGAGAGGACTTTTTGCCTATTCAGTTTTAATGTCATTAGCCAGAGGGCGGTCACTGTGCCATTTCTTCATGTGTTTCTCTAGAGTGCTGTACACACTAAAAGGCATGTGGCAAATTTCACATTTGTACACATCCTTGCCCATCTGTCCGTGGGTTTTCATGTGACGGGTGAGTTTGGAGCTCTGGGCACATGCATAACTGCACAGCTCGCACTTGTATGGCCTCTCCCCAGTGTGGCTCCGTCGATGCACCGTCAGGTTGCTGCAGTTCTTGAACACCTTGCCACAAAATTCACAGGTGTCACTGCGGCGGCCATCCTTGGAGCTCGGTCGGCCATTTCCGGTGCCGCCGTGTGGAGTGCTGGCCCCACTGCCTGTGCCGCTGCGTCCTGAAGGGGCTCGTTCCCCATCGAGCTCACCAGGGGGAGTGGAAAAGCGCAAGCTGCCATTTTCTGATGAGTGCTCAGATGAGGAGGTAAAGGGTGATTGTCTGGAGTCCCCACCTGTAAAGTTGATGAAGGGGTCCTTGAGTTGCCGGGAGGCAGCATAGCCTGCTAACCACTGAGAATAGACATTCTCTGTGTTTGGGATGGTAGGGGTAGGTGGGTCTATATCCTTTTCTATCTTGATGCGTTTGGATAGAGGGCTGAGTGTGTCAGGACTGATCCTCCCACCCAGCAGCTTTCTAGAGAGGCTGTCACTGGACAGTCGTCCAAGGCCATTTATATTAGTGGTGGATGCATCATCGGTGCGGTCTAATTCAACAGCTGAGTCATCCTCAACGGGCTCTCGAGACAAGCTTCTGCGATGTGGATGTAGAGCATCACTGTTCTGGTGGTGGCGGGCGCCTTCCAGTCGCACACTGAAGCGATAGTTTTTCCTTCCCTCTTCTTCAACTCTGGGCTTACTGTCGATTTCCTCCTCCTCCCCTTCCTCCTCCTCTTCCTCCTCTTCTTCTTCCTCCTCTTCATCTTCCTCTTCTTCCTCCTCTTCCTCCTCCTCCTCCTCCTCTTCATTTTCAGGCATAATCCCATTGTTTTCACTTTTGAACTTAGCCACCACTGACTTGAGTGCATCAGTGGCACTGCCCAGTATGTCACTAGTACCAGGTTCAGGTGAGCTGGCAGTTGATAGGCCATCATCTGACTTGACATTAAGCGCCAATGACTTATTCTGACAGTGTGTTTTCATGTGACGTTTCAGCTTGCTGGCCTGTGTGCAAGCATGGTTGCAGAGGTGACACTTGAATGGCTTTTCCCCTGTGTGACTTCGCCGGTGCACAATAAGGTTACTCTGGAACTTGAAGGTCTTCCCGCAGAACTCACAAGACTTTGTCTTGAGAGGAGTACCTGGCTGGACTACATTTGATACAGGATTAGGGGTGGAGCGGGAGCCAGATGGGGAGTGGGAGGTGGAGAGGGGAGGTGTGGCTGTAAATGGAGGCTTTGAACCTGCCTGGAATGGCTGTAGCAGCCGTTGCATAGGGTTAGGTCTGTTAGGGGAGAGAGGGGGAGAACCACTGGTGGCATTCCCAGCAAGCTCCCTCAGACGTCTCGAGAAGTCCATGCTCTGAGGGGGTTCTAATGGCACTGAGTTCAGCCTCATCACTCTGTCGAAGGCGCTAGGATGATGGGTTGCCAGGGCAAGATCATCTGGGCTGAGATGGTGGCGAGGCGGTGGGCTAAATAATGGGGGGGTTCGAGGATAACGGCCCTCACGTGGTGTGGATGCTGAATCCCGGCCAGACCCTGATCCCGGCATCCTCAAAAGGCTGTAAGGGCTCCCATCAGCCAAGTGAACCGCATGGAGCGGTGGCTGGGAGGAGGCACAATCCCCCCCCATCCCAGGAGCGGCAGCTACACGTGGGGTAAGAGGGCTGCCAGGTTCACTCTCCAGATAGATGCGGAAGCCATGAGTGTTCTGGGCATGTTGGAGCAGGAACCAGGCACTGGTGAAGGGTTGTTTACATGTGGTGCAGGTGTAACTGCTTGGCTCATCTTTATCTGCCAAAAAAATAAACAGAGAAAAAAAAAACTTGATTAAAATAAAGCATAAAATGAAAACAAGGCTGCAGGACAATATATCTGTTTCTTTGTTTTGTTTTGATTTTTGACATTCAGAATTCATATTACCGTATACTACTTTGACTACAACTGTCAGCATAAAATGAAATTTCAGAAATATAGAAAAGAAAAACAGAGGAGACATTGTGAACATTTAAAAGAAATATAAATAAGGGTGGTTTAAAGGTGCAAATCACTAGAATGTAGAATTTGTAAAATGAAAAATAAATACATTCTGAACAAATGTATTTATTAATCTAAAGGCACATCTTATGCTGCCGATGGCCAATTTATACAGATCAGAAGGCACAGGAATAATTCAAACAGTAATTGACTTTCAATTGCACTTGTACACTGACCTGAGATCTGCTTGACAATGCATGCCTAATCTCGTTAAACACACTCATCTCCCCTCCAATACCTTGTTTACAAAATTAGCAATTCTAGAGTGGGACATGTATTGAATGCTGCATATTAACGACAAATACAAATAAGGGGTAACGTGTTAATAATTATAACAGTGTTTATCAGAAAGAAACACACATTCGCAGGAAATAAAAGCCAGGAAAGAAACTGCATCTGGGTTTTTGTGCGTGGGTGGGGTGGTTCCTTTGAAAATGCATTTCATGCATTACTTTTCTATTTCTGATATTTCATGCTTTATGGATTTATTTAAATCCTCTCAGGTGAATAGAAAACGAGAAGAAGGGGGAAGAAGAAGTGAGCGCTATGCAAAATAAAAAGCATCCACCACTTGCAAATGTGCTCCTCCTTTCATCTTTTGCCTTTTTTTAAATCCTTTTTTCTCTCTCTTTTTTGTTCTTCTGGAGGGCATTTGTCCAAAGTCATTTGCAGACACTGAACCCAAAATCCATAGCAAAGAGAGGAAGAACAAGGGAGAGAAAAAGATATTTAAACCATGTATAACGGGGACTGTATATGTTTTAAGCTGGTCACGGCTTATAGACAAAGCTGGAAGAAAAGGGCAGAGAAAGATGAGAAAGGAGAGATGCTGTGGTCGAGCCGTGGTAAAACGAGTTTGATGTTTAGAGGTTTCGCTTCCTATCTCTTGTGTCCTCAGCCACAGAGACCCCCCCCCCACAAAGTCTACCACTTAAAGAGCAGAGCAAGGCATAAAATGTGAACCAAATCAAACCTCCACGCAAACCTTTTCTCTCCTGAATGAAAAGAGTTGGAAGGGGGTATAATGGTAAATTATGGATCATTACAATCTGCAAAAATTACAGTTAATTGCTGCCACCTGCAATGGGCTTTGACCCACTATGGAATTTTTCCATCATAAAAAAGCCATTTGCCCGTACGATTTTTTGCTCTCTCACAGCCTCTTTCCTCTCTTTCATAAGCACAAATAAAAAGTGCCAGTTACATTAACACACACTTCCTGATTATGTGTGTTTTTACAGCTTTAAAAGAGAGCCCTATATCCCCCATAAAAATAGTTGCAATAACCCACATTCTGCTGTACATTTTCCTTTGATTTGAAGCCTGCATATACTTCCTAATGTTATACCATAATGTGTGAGCATACAAGGTAAATGCCCCAGGAGGAAAACAACTTTCTCAGTTATTGTGAGAGAATAGAAAGGACGATAAGGGCTTTCTGGCAGGCAAAGACTGTCAGAAATGATAAATAATGGATTTTTCAAGAGGAGTCTGGAAAGTGACTGAAAGAGTCAAGAGAAAAAAAAGTGGAACAATTAGTATGGTGTGAAGGGGATGGTCCTACTGACAACCATCCTTTCCACAGAAAACAAAAGCCACCACAAAACATTTAAAGGCCTGCTGTAAATCCATTATTTAATCTCTGCTATAACATAACTTAACCAATACAATCACCTTTTGCATGAATATTTGACAAACTGTACTCAAACCATAAGCAAGCATAATAGTTGTTTTTTTGGATCCGAGAAATGGACACAATGACGCACATTAGAAAGTCACAACAACGGCTGCCAGAAATTACAACAATGGCACATAAGATATCTAAATAATCCCACTATTGTCCTTAATAGTCATCCTCTTGGAAATGGAAGAAAAGTAATTCAAAGGGATAAAAGACATTTTGACAAGGCGTTTGATGTTTTTCTTTTGTTTTTTTTTTAAGAAAAGAAAAGAGAACTCTGAGGGAGGAAGGAGGGTCTTACAAACAACTCTATCTTCTAATGGAATAAAAGAGAATCTCCCACTCTCTCTCAATCTGTTTCTACCCTTCTAGTAACTTAAAGTCTGGGGTGAGTTAGGGCTGGAGAGCTGCAGAGCTGAGGCTAATGCTGGATCTCCAGGTCCCTTTGAAATAGGATCAGCAGAGAGGAGAAACCACACTGACAAGCCCTTAGCTGCCATTTCATGGCAGGACTGAAAGAGGGGACTTTAGAAGAAAGAGGGAGAAAGACAGACAGACAGACAGACAGACAGACAGACAGACAGACAGACATACAGACAGAGGTGGAAACTAAAATAACTCATAGAGGTAGAGAAAATCAGATCTACAATATTACAAATAAAAATCAGCAAACATGCTATGTTTATTATGTACTTTTTGAGCCATTCAGAACATTGCAACACAAAGAAAGGCATAGACTTCATATCTGCGAGTTCAAAGTTGCCAGGCAGAGAATATGATCCTGATTGTAATCAAACTGGTCCCTTAAATAGCAGATAACCTCACATTCTACTGAAACCACCCCAAAGCAAGCAACATTCAGCCTAGGTGACTGATGTGCATGTGTCAAATATCAACTAATCTCACACAGCACACCTTAAGAATGAAATCTGTGTGCCGTCCCAATAGGCCAAGGGACCAAAGGAGGTTGAAGTCAACCTGCTATTATACCATGGAGTTGGACAATGAAATCATGACAGTGCTGTAAAATTTAATGATGTGTCTTGCTATGTAGCCCGAATGTGTAATTAGGCATTGACGGACAGTCAATAGCCATGGGATTTAGAGCAAATATAAGAGTAGCGAGAGGAGTCCGAAAATTGTATTATTTTTCAATCAGTAAAGGTATCATTCAGAATTGGTAACACCAATATTCGTTTAATCGTTGTTAAATTTGTTACAGAGGCAAGTAAGGCAAGTACGGACAAAGTTTGCTATTTCAAGTATTAAGTGTTTAAAAATGAAACTGAATATGCTCTTGAAAGGCAATCTGGAAGTCATGGAAAAGAAGTGTCATCTTTTACAGAGGAACTCTGACTTGATCTCAGCTAATTAAAATTCAATTAAAAGTATTTTGTTGTTTTTTATAGTAATAGAAAGTTATGGAGAAATTAGAATCATCTTAAATCAGTATCCCCAGGTCAGACCTTTACAGAAAATTGGATTAAAAGTTGTGAACTGGAAAATCTCTGGTCAATGCACCCTGACAAAAAACACATGTTGGTGAGTCATTAGGTACTTAACAAATCTCCCAACTTAAAACACATTGTAGTTCACAATGAAATTAGTAAGTAGCGGTTAGCAGGTATACGGCGATATTGTAGTCTATTGTCTAGACAATAGCAAACGCAATGGTGTTCCATAATAGGTCTCAAATATGTTTCAACCCTTAAATGCATTTTATGCATACTGTAGCTCTCAACAGTAGCCCCTATAGTCCTGCCATGACATGGCTAGTTTGATTAGTGATGTACAAACATTTATTGAAGGAGGAATTTGTTTGGCTGCTGTATGACAACATGGATTAGTATGTCGTTAGCGCCCCAAAGCAAGGCATGTCCGCAAGCAATGGGAGATTTTGACTTGAAGCAGTTTTTAAGCAATGAGAAAAGCTCTCTGCTTCCTCAAATGTATTCTAAACTTTTTGTCCAACTCATTCTCCAAGTTGTTACACTTTTCTTGACCTAAGTTTCTTTTTTGGTAAGTTTGATTTGTCCTTGACCAACCCAAGTAGTTGTCCTAGTGTGACCACATAGCTTTCACTGTTATTGGTCATTAAGCTAATGGAGGAACAACCTAACAGGATTAGGTTGTGGGTCCTCAAAAAGACAGAGGAAGAGGAACAGAGAAGGATAAGGGCAGATGGGCAGGAGACTTGGGGGACACAGCATGTAACGGCCATTTCTCAAAGTTATCAGTCGCTATGGCTTAAGGGAGCACTTACAAATACCTAAAAGTGATTATGCTAATACAGGTCCTCACCAATATTCATAAGTGTTTATAGCTGTTGGAGTGAGTGCTTTAGAAGGAAGGAGGCTTGTCAGTATAGTGTCTCTTAAGATTGCCTTTAGCCATAACTGGCGTTAATGTGATTACTACTCTGTTTATATCATTAGGGTATTCACAGTCAGGAATTGGACAGGGGTGAAGGGTGAAGCAGGAGAGGACATGATGAGGGAAAACAGAGAGTGGATGTAGCCCAGTTCTTTTCTGAAGTCCCTCTCTTCTAAATGACTTTCAGCTGTATTTACATACATTTTTAGTTAGTTGTTTATTAGCAGTTTTAGAGATAAATCAAATAATACATGCATTAAAAATTATCATCATATGAAAGCTGACTCATCTTGCAAACTTGTCACTTTGACCTTAATTCTTACCGACGCTATCTCTGTACCTTAGTCAGTTTCCCTGCAACACAACCAGGCTCATACTCTTGCTTCTTTGACTTGGGCAAGGCTTACTGTGGTCTGCAGAGCACCTGGACACTTGGAAGAAACTTAATTGCAGGAAATGCTGCTTTATAAACAGAAAACAAGCCAATACTTGAGGGTGTTGGAATTATTAGCTGATGGGTGATTCACAAGATGAAAATTAGAAAACATAGAGAACATAGAGGTTGCAAGCAAAAATAAAAAGGTGGGTTGTGTAAGGGTTGAAGAGGAAATGCTTGTTTTGGCAAGAAAATGCTAAAAAGGGAAAGCAAACATTTCAAGATAAAGATCCATTGTAGATTTAGGGAGGGGGGGTTCAATGCTCT